CTGAACGGTCTTCCTCCCGATCTGAAGTTTTGCCCCAGGTTTAAATTTAGATTTCAGTGGGGAGAGCTTGCTAGTTCTTAACTTCTTGATTTTAGTTGCCTGCTGAAACGTAGTGGACGGTGACCTTTTGATCTTTTTCAGACTCTCTTTTTCTTCTTTACCACCCTTCTGAACATCTGATGTGTCCTTTCCTTGTGACACTTTGAACTTCAAGTTCATGAGTGTTGGAGGTCTCCCACGCCTTTTTTCCCCGCTCTTCAACTCCTTCTTCTTTACTTTCTCCATGGATGTGGTCTCAGACTTGCTTGAAGGGGAACACACCGATGAAGAGTCTGACAGCACGGCTGAACTTCGGTCAGAACTGCTCCGGGGTCTCCCGCGAGGTTTCCGTGGGCTAGATTTAACTGGGAGGGAAGGAGAGAATCAAGAGCATGCATTACATTTCTCTGAGCGTCAGATCGGCAGTGCCCAGGTCATGCAAGGATTTGCTCAGTATCGGTCACACTGCCCATACGAAGCTGCCAAGACACTTCAGTTAACCAACAACTAAAACAGTTTGATCAAAACGTGTAAAGAGTGCCTTCCCAACAAACCTCTCCTCCCATAAAAACACCCAGTGGATAATTTGCTTTAAACATAAGCTTCCCTTTTCACAACAGCTACATATGCGATGGCACAAACCATTATCGACCTAAGGCCGAGAGGGAACAATGGCTCCTAAGGGCACGCACCACATTGCAAACACGTCAGAATACTTGCTTTAAGCCGACGACAGCTAGCTGAGAGGAAAAAAAGTCCTTCTTCTCTGGTACCATCCATCTGCACTGCTAAGGAATAGGTCAGTAAGGCACGAACAAGGTATGGGGAGAGCTCGACACGAGGCGATTTAATCAAAACCCTGCCCCTAGCTCTGGAAGGCGGTTAGCCCTCGGCACCGCGCTCGCAATCATCGGGCGGATGCGCAAGCCTCCCTGACTCGGCTCTACCAACGCCCTTCACGGTGTGCCCACCAGACCCAGCCGTTCCAGTTCTGGGTCCGCACGCAGCTCGGACACCATGCCTCTGCCCTCCTCAAAACCCTCCCTGTCAGCAAGGCTCTCCGCCGCAGAATTTGCTGCCACGGCCAGGCTAAGCAGAAAGTTGTGGTGAACGAGCAGAGCGCTGTGGTGAGAATGTTTATTGATGAGAACCTAAATCAAAGCTGAGCTCGTTCACCGGCAGTCCCATTGTGATCTGATCCTACGTCTTGAAAGCCGAGAATGACACAACTTAGCTACAGCCTATCCTCAAGCTTCCCATACTTGTTTCGTTTCCAAACCGAAAAAAGGGTCCCTGTCACAGGCGATAATGAGCCTGTTGAGAGAAACTGGAACATCCAAGCCTGTTTTAGATCTTTACTATTAAAATAACTGCCTCTCCAAAACACTAACACGAGGTTTCGAACACTGGTTTCATCAGTATAGCTCATTTACTCAAAGTTCCCCTGTTCCGTAACAGATCAGACGTTAAGGGTGCAAAAACTAAGTCAAGTCAGCTGAATCCAAAGCCTGGGGCAGCTCTGGTGGCGAGGGACAGGCCCGGTGAAATCACCCCATCGGAGAATAAAAAGGCAACACGCGACCCCGCGGCTTGAACATACCTGTGGGGGACCTGGTGGGACTTCGTACTTTGACTTCTTCATCTGAACCAAACCCTAAAAACTGTTCATCCTGCAAAGAGAAAGCGGATAGAAGTATGAGCATGTGGGTATTAACGTTAAAACAAACTTCGCTATGATCAAAGTGTCAATGGATTCTAGAGGATCTTCCTTCCCCAAGTAGCATACTGGCATTTGCTCTTCTATCAAACAAACGCAAAAAAGGAAACAAACCTTTTATGTGTGCATATAAACCAGCTACAGTTCACAGATACAGAACGATCAAAACGAGTTACACGGAAACAAAGGACAAGCCTGTACGGAAACAAACCCTTAACACATAAAATGCGCTGCTCCTATCAAACCACAAAGCTCTGCTCTTACAAGTTATTATTCCAGCTACCCTACAGACATTCTCCAGCAGAAGTGTTCCCGTGCTTATTTTCCTACAATAAACACAGACTAACTTCCTCCAGACCCGTGCAAAAGCCTCCCTGGGAGAGCAGAGGCACCCGAGTTCTATAAATCCTCCCGACCATCCTGGAGCGCGAACAAGCCCTTTTCCGACAGCTCCTCTGTGGGAGGGCTCGCCACCAGCTCCCTCCAGAGCTCCCACAGCCTCGGGTTTCCCCTGAACTTTGAGGAGTAAACTCTGTGCAATGTGAGTGCACGCTGGACAGTAACTGGGCTGGTTTTGTAACAATCCGAGCAAGCAGAGAGCTCTGAGAAGAGGGAGCACTGCAGGAAGAGGATCCTCAAAGCAGGGAGGCGCAACGCTGTGCAGAGGAGGAGGTGAGCTCTGTAAAGAATCACAGAATTATCACAGAATTGCCAGGGAAGGGACCTTAAAGATCATCCAGTTCCAACCACCCCTCCATGGGCAGGGACATCCCCCACTAGATCAGGCTGCCCAGAGCCCCATCCAGCCTGGCCTTAAAAACTTCCAGGGATGGGGCTGCCACCCCCTCTCTGGGCAACCTGTGCCAGGGTCTCACCACCCTCATGAGGAAGAACTTCCTAACATCCAATCCGAACTGACTCATCTCTAGCTTTAACCCATTCCGCCCAGTCCTATCACTACTCGACATCCTAAAAGAAGTAACCCCAGTTCCTGACGGGGCTCAAGCCTGACACAAGACTGGGTCAAACCAGCGCCTCTTCTTTGCCTTGCACTTTCTACAGAAAATTTCTAATTCATCTACTCACAAGACAGACCACGAAGCAGCTCTCAGCTACCGAAACCACAGTTTAAAGAAATTAAACCGCGCACACTCAGACCCACAGCTGCGTCCACAGGAAAGTCAGGATGCGATAGGAAGTATCAAGGCCTGAGAGAAAGGATTTCTCGCAATTTTCTGCTTGGTTTCCGTTTGATGAGCCTAGGCATTAAACAATTCAAATAGAGTAAATATTACAGAGAGGACGCCACTCAAGTTTTCAACACAGAGAGCATTCTAGCAAGTCAAACACGACGCACGCCAACGCAGGCTGCAGTTCCTCATGACTGCAAGCGACTCTCGGGGTGCCGTGCTGGAGAAGGGGATGGTCCTGCCCTTCCTCCCATCCCCGCTGTCTATCTGCTATCTGCGGTTTCAGCGGTGATGTCAAGGAAACGGGATCAAGCAAGGGTAAAGCAATAGAGCCACGCAAAACACATTGTTTCCACCTGAGGAACCACGCATCATGTAGACAGAGACCCTTCCCGGCTGCTCATCCCACACGACGTCGTCTTCATTCGCCTACCAAAAACTGAGGTCTGCAGCGATCTTGAACGCACGACCACGTGTGCATAGCGTGTGCCGGGCACAGAGAACGGCCAAGCAACACCGACATCTGTGCATACGAGCACATCTCCCCCAAGAAAGCAGAACTTGCTGCCGCAAGCAGGTGTCACTTAAGCAGGTGTCGCTTAAGGCACGTCCACAGCCCTGCAGAGGAGAATGCTACAAGCAGCATGGTGAGAAAAAGACAGCAGCGACGTTCTCCCATGAAACAATTCGCTTCCAAGTTTCCTGGCTCTAACTGTGTGGCTCCCCAGCACTTCACCCTCTCACTGTGCGGGAGCAGCTCTGAGCACCGGTCGCACCTCCAGAACCCCAGTGCTGCAGCCTGAGAAGCACAGCCCGACAAACGCCGAGCCCTCCCCACAGCAACTGCGACGTTCTCAGCTCTAGGGACTCGTCATGCTGCCAGCAGGCCACTTCAAGTGCTAAGCAAACAAAATTTTTCAGAAAGATTAACAGACTCAAAGACTTATTTACGGGATTGAGTTAGAGACCATCCATGCCCGGAGAGGTGAGTTCAGTGTAACCTAAAACAATTCCTTACGCTAAAACCAGCTGCTGGTGCTCGACTTACACGTGTACGAAGTGTTCGCTGTTGCCCAATGACCATGAACCTCCAGTAACAAAGAGGGAGATGCATCTATTATTAAATACAGTCTCACGCGCTCGCAAACAAAAGTAACCTCGCGTATAACGACCAAGTAGCAAAGGGGGCTGACAGCGTGCAGTTCAACCTTAGGCACAGAGAACAAGTAGGTACTTCAAGGTGTGACTTGGGTGTCCAACGGTACCAGTGTCAGGCGACAGAATTGCATTTTCTGCTCGATGCTCTTCTGCCTCGAGCAAAACGCTGGGCCTGAAGACCCAGGAGAACCCATCGCGTGGTTTTCTAACACTCCAGCCACCCCTCCACCTTTTTGTTCTCTGCATGGAAGGAACAAGACACACAACTTTTGCTTCCCCCAAGAAGCTTGTTCAGAACCTGTAATATTTTTAAACCCAGCTCCGTCACCGTACTTTTCCAGTGGTGTATGTTACTTCTGGCTTTGGCCCAATGTCCTGGACACGCTCACGTTTTCTCATTTCTTACCAAGCAGCCATCAGAAGTGTCTACGGTAAAAAGGCACGCTCCACAAAACGATTGCTCTGGCTTCATCCACAACTACAAGAAGCGTGATCAAGGCACCCTTCGTATTTGTTCAGTGACTCCCAAACGATCCTTCTCCCTGTGTGAGGAGGCAGCCTTGTAACTTGCCAGAGAAGATCGAGAAGGTCACTAAGTACCAGGACGGGTTTGCCAGGCTAAACCAGCCAGTTGGCCATCGTACGGCAAAACACAGTTTTGAGGCAAATTAAGCAGGAACAGCCTCCCCCCAGTTTTTCAGAAGTGACTATAAAGCACGACAGATGGAGAGTGATTAAAAACCATAATGGTTTTGAACGTGACCTCATTTACCGGAGAAAGAATAATGCAACACAAAAAAGGTCACTTGGGATTATAAATAAAAGGATGAGGGAAGGCTCGCCTCATGTGCAAGACACGAAGACTAACTAAGCAGGCAAGGGGCAATCTCTCCAAGTGCAGCAGAGCTTCCACCTACACCTCCCACCCAGAAATCACACTACCCCAACTGGTTTAATCCTCAATGCTGCGAGCGGATGAAGAGAGGTTTTTCCTGAAGTAACCCAGTTATGAGAAGAATGGAAAAGTTGCAAGCAAATCTCTACTATTACGTTCTTGAGCAAAATGGGTTTTTGAAGAGTTTCCAGCTAAAGATTGCGAAGGAAAATCCACCTTCAAAGGAGAAGCTGTCCTGAACGCGGTGTCAAGTGATGTTCAGAGTAACAGTACCGCTACAGACCCA